CCTCCCCCTCTCTCTCTTCTCTTTCTCCTCTCTTCTTTCATCTCTCTCTCTCTCTTCCATTATCCATGAGATTGGTTTGCGATTTGGGCATTTCACACGCACACACGATTTGGGGGTTTCTTCTTCATGATCTCTCTCTGTCTCTCTCTCTTTACAATCATACGATCTCTTGCATAGGGATGAGAAATTAGTTATATGGATAGTTCATATAGTCAATATCTACATGTGGGTATTGCTACTATAAGGAGTTGAGGACATAAGACTAGATTGGGACTGTTAGATGTCTTCTTCCTGTAATTACGAGAGTGCAACACGATAGTGAAGAATCCATTTTTATGTTTCAATTTTTGTGTAGTTTTATGCCATGGGAATGTTGCTGTAAATTTCAATAAAATGTCAAAACATGCTTCATTGAATTATGCTGTAGTTGAAAACGGAATCAAAGATTTATGTGAAATCCCATTGTGCTATAGATCAACATATTCACCAACTTGGACTTCTTTAGATCAACATGTGAAGTTCATATTTATTATGTGGACTTTCATCTATTCAAGGTACAGTCTCAACCCCACACGAACAAATAAATAACTCTGTAGACGGGTTGGTGAGATTCCGCCTCCCCCTCCTCCATCAATCCCTGTAAAAAACCAAGAGACCAAGCTCCGTGCCATTTTGTGCCAGGTCCAATAGTGTACCCATCACTCCAAGCTCCTTGGCCTTTGCCAGATGTTGTTGATCTCCAACACAGAGGTGGACCAGCACCGCAGTCGCATTCTCTCTGTTCCTGGGGGATCCACTCCCAATTACGTCCACCAAGATGGGTACAGCATCTGCTGTTCCAATTGTTGCCTTCCCCTTAGGATGGCTAGCTAATATTGCTACGATGGCTAATGCCTCATCCACCCCAATTTGGGTTGTTTTTTTATTTTGAGAATTTTTTTCCCCGGTTATACCTTTGAGGTTGCCACGTGTCCCTATTAAAACCCCTTCATTGTGGTAAAGATTCACCCACCTATCCTTAGTTTTAAAAATATATATCAAATTTCTTTTTAAACCCTAGTTTAAAATTCACTAACTCCTAAGGTTAAAATTATTTAAATATTCTTTTCTAAAATCAAGGATAAGTAGGTGAACCATGAGATTGGGTGAATTTTAACCATAGTTAATGGGTGTCAATAGGGACATGATCAAATGCAGGGCAACATCTCTTTAGAGGAACATAATCAATTGCATGTGCCTATTGCTTTGTGATTATTAAATGAATATGGTGACACAGCTTGTAACAGCCCCTTACAGTCATTCCTCCATCCCACATGCATACCTTTGTTTGCATGCTTACTATATTATTTTTCAACTTATAAATGCATTACCATTTTGATACGTCTTTAAAGTAACTTTTTACTATTCCTAGAATTGTGATATGTTGCAAAAGGAAAAAAAGGGAAAAAATGAAGAAAAGAAGGTTGATCCATCTAGGGCGGCATGGCCCGACAATATGAGGAAGATCTTGTTAGATCTATGCATAGAACAAGTACAATTGTCTGGAAAGCTAGGCGTGAACTTTCTTCTGTTTACATAGAAGATTATTATTAATAAGTATAAGGAGAAGACAGGTAGACAACATTCTCAGAAACAATTAAGGAACCAATTGGATTATATGAAGAGGTTGTACAATGCATGGGTCGTATTGTGTGGGCAAACCGGCATTGGGTGGAACGATGCTACTCACACTATCACAATGGAACCCGAGAGATGGGAAGCTTATCTGGAGGTATAACATCATTTTATACTTTAAACTATAAGCTTTTTTATTTATTTAAAATCCCTAAATTAATGACATCTGTTGCAGACACACAAAGATTCTAAACCATTCATGACCAAACCTCTACCATTTCCCGATGAGATGGCATTTCTATTTGATGGTATTTCGGCGACAGGAGCCGCCAAGTGGGCACCTACAGTTGGTTATGTTCCAGATGACTTGTTGGGAAATACTCATCCTAGCTACGACTTGAGTGATAACATTGAGATTTTATCATCTAATGTAACACAACCTCATAATGAAACTCAACAGAAGGCTGGTGAAGAGGTTGGTGATGTGGAGTTAATGGAGAACATTTGGCGAAAACGACTAAAGCCTCCAAAAAGTAAAAGAGATTCGGAAAAAGCGACATTGGATGCTAGCATTGCATCTCTTGTGTCTTCTATTAAAGAAGATACAAGCAAAGGGCCCAGTATGGCTGAATGTATTGAATCTCTGCAGCAAATGCAAGATGTTATCAAGCCATCACCATTATTCTTGTGTGCTCTCCGCTCATTCTGTAATTTATAAAATAGAAGTATCTGGATGATGCTGAAGAAGGAAGAATCGGGCTTGGAATGGTTGAAGGACCTCTTGGACAGGGGCCACTGATAGTGGATTATGTTTTTCGTACTTAAACTTTATTTGGATATTTTTGATGATGTTAGTTTTGGATTTTTATGATGATATTTTTGGATTATTTTGGATGTTATAGTTTGATGTCATATTTGGGATGTTAGTTTTGGATTATTTTGGATGTTAGTTTTGGATTATATCATAAAACTTTATGATGATATTTTGAATGATTTTAATTTTAGATTTTTAAGATGATATAATGTTGAATTTTATATTCTTTAGAATGATGTATTAAATGATATTTTTTTAAATGAATGCATTATATTTGAAATGTCTAATTATGTGTGGGATGCAATTGTGTACTATTTTGTTAACAGCTACCATGACACCACTGATGTGAAAAAAGATTACTCACCTGATTTTGTAACTACTGAAAAAATGACAACGGTACTTACCTAAGGAGCCATGTAGAAATTCCAATTTAACAGGAAATGGTTATGTTCAGTACATTCTAAATGGCAACCCGATAATATGACAAGAGATTTTGCGAATGGAGAAACATGTTTTTCATCGTTTGTGTATGGTGTTTAGGGAGAAGGGACTACTTCAGGACAGCAAGTACGTCAATGTTGAGGAGCAGTTGGTAATATTTTTAACAATTATTTCCCAGAACCATACAAATCGAAATTTGCAGGTTCGATTTCAACACTCTAGTGAAACCATCCATCATCATTTTCATAGAGTTTTGATAGCGATGATCAAATTCTCAATTGAGATTGTAAAGCCTCCTTGTTATAACCAAGTACCTAAGGAGATTTTGTGCAATTCTCAATTTCATCCATTTAAGGTAAACTCCTATTTTATACTTGCTTGATCAATATTATCTTTATTCACATTAAAATATTTTAATTTGTAATACTTTTTAAGGGTTGTGTTGGAGCGATAGATGGTACTCTTGTGTATGTTGTGATCGCTCCAGAAAAACAAATACCTTACAAAGGAAGAAAAGGTGAATGCATGCAACAAGGATGGTAGCTTGCTCTTTTGATATGTTATTTACATTCGTAGTTGCTGGGTGGGAAGGCACGGTGCATGATCATCGGATATTGATGGATACTCTTTATGATTAACGTTTGAAGTCTCTTCACGCCCCTCCTGGTAAATAATATTTACTATTTAATAATTCAAGTGAGTATTATAGTATCTTGAAATTCTTTGTTGTTATTTTCAGGAAAATATTATTTGGGTGATGCCGGTTATATGAACATGCGAGGCTTTCTTACTCCATATCGTAATATTCGGTATTGGTTACCTGACTTTCAGGGTGCTATTCGCCCTCGTAATAGGGAAGAACGTTTTAATTATCTTCATTCATCTCTGAGAAATGTGATTGAGTGAACTTTCGGGGTATTGAAAGCTCGTTTCAAAATTTTAAAGAAGATGCTTCCTTACTCATTCCCTTTACAAAGAAGTATAGTTGTTGTAGCAATGACAGTGCACAATTTCATCAAAAAAGAAGCCATTACAGACAAGTTATTTGCATTGTACGAGAATGAGAATGTAGAATTGGATGCTGATGATTTTGGTTAAGATAACAGTGAACCAATCAACATGGATATGAATTTAGGTACGTATATAGAGATGGATGAAGTTAGGAATGCGATTGTGGATGCCGTATATTTAAATGCATGAAGATGTTTTTTTAAAAAAAATTGGTGTTGACATTCAAATGATATGTAATATTCATAATTTTCTTTGGTTGAAGTACTTGAATTTATGAATATTATAGATTATGGGACAAAATTTTCAGCAACTCATGTGTTCATGTGGGAGTGGAATTGGGTACCTAATGAATATCTATATTTTTATAAATGACATCAACTGCTCCTGCAATAAGATGCAATAAGACGATGTTACCAAACACAATTTTACAAAAAAGTTGTGTCTATTACTATGCTCTGCCAAACAGTTTTACTGTCTATAGATCTATTTCTTACAGATATTTTTGTCACAGATCTATTTTGACTAGATCTATCCGAAATAGATAAGATCGGAGAAAATCTACCAAACGAACCCTTACCTTTTATGTAAAAACTAATATTATTAAAGTATTATAAGTAGTACAGTAAAATTAATCGAGCTACGTCAAGCCAAGCCGTTTTTGCTTGTATTCAACTTGATTAACAAACGAGCTCAATTATTTAGCTTGGCTTGGTTCAACGAGTTCAAATAGCCAACTCAAGCTTGGCACATTTCGAGTTGGCTCTAACAGCCCTAATGCACACCTCCCAAATCACCATATGTACTATTTGACACCCATTAAGTGTGATTAAGATTCACTCATCCCTAGGGTAAAATAATATAACCTTGGTTTTAGGAAAAAAAATATTTTAAAAATTAATCACATGAGTGAGTAAATCATAAGGAAGGTTAAATTTTTTAAAAAAAACCAAGGTTATATTATTTAACCCTAGAGATAAGTAAATCTTAATCACAGTTAAGAAGTGTCAAATAGTACATGTGATGATCTGGGAGGTGTGCATGTACCGTATGGGCGATACGGTCAGGCGGTTCAGAAAGGATTTGATCGTAGAAAGAGACTCAAACTTGTGCGGGGATAGGGACGGATGTAGCCAAATCGATCAAGGCATTGGATTGTGAATCCACCATGTGCGGGTACAATCCCCGTCGTTCGCCCATCAATAAATGGATCATTTTACGGAGACACAAAACAAACCTAGAAAGTATTTTTTATGCAAGAGTCAATTCATCTTGAGGCTTTCAAACACATCCAAGCAATTGGTAACCGATTGAAACTAAATGATATCCCATATGGATACCAAAGGGGGGCACTGCAAGTTACTAGGTCACAGTATTGGATGATCCTGTTCAAAAAATGATATAAAGGACATCTCCAATCGAGGTTGACTATGGCATATTTTATGACCTCTATACTTGCCTCTAGCCACACCTTCAATGTATAATAACAACATTTGTAAAAGTCCATTAAAAATTCCGTGTTAAGAGAATGGTAAGCATTCTAAGGTAAAGGCTGCAAAGCTTGTTTAGGATGATGCAAATGAAGCTTAACATAGTAATAGAATAGGTAAAGCATCAAGAAGTTGTCTCAGTGGTAGGAAAGCGGGCTGGATTGAAAGGACCGCCACTATAAATAGTAGTACATCTTTGATCATGAAATATCATTTGCTTGAAACCTGTAAATCGCGTGAAAGTAGAATTCTCAAAATTCGGGGGTAAAGAGTTTCATAAAACATTATTAGGGGAAGAAAATTCGAGTGAAAGATCCAACCAAATCGAATTTGATCTATAAATCTAAGAAATAGTGAGAATTATTGATCTCTCTCAAATCGAAGATCCACTAAGCCAAAAGCTTCTCAAGCAATTACTTCTAGTTAGAGACCAACATCTTGGGGATAACATGGGATCCTCTTAATTAAGATCCCCCCCACCCCGCATTTTGTCTATGAGCAATTGGGCTCTGTCAAAACCATGATCAGTGACATAATATTACAACAAGCTGCATACTCTACAAGAGGAAGAAGTCATATGACAATGCAGGTTGCTTCCTTTCTCGATGCCGCCACTCTTAGCCATGACAGGACGCAACAACATGATTCTGGTTAGACTCAGAGGTTTTACGACGTGCATAAAAAATTAACCACATGAATGAGTAAACCATAAGGAAGATTAAATTCTTTTTAATATTTTTTTAAGAAACCAAGGTTATATTATTTAACCTTAGGAATGAGTAAATCTTAATCACAGTTAATGGGTGTCAAATCGTACACATGGTGAGCTAGGAGGTGTGCATGTAACGATATGGGCGATACATGCATGCATGCGCATACATAGTATCATCTCTTTAGTTAAGTGCTTCCCACTCGTCATTCAAAGAGGGCCTTGATAACTTTCCTGTAGTCTTTACAGCCACAAAACTAGAATCATAAGATATGATATGCATACCTGATCCCGCCATTGATGAATGTGATTGTCGTACACAAATCTGGTTGATAAATAATAATGGCTTATATGGTCTTCAACTCCTGGTCTCCAAGTCTCTTGATGGGGAAGATGCTAGTTTTGCAGGCCTTTTCCAGAGATGGAGTTGGGACCATTAGCCTTAACATTCCTTATATAGGGGTAGTTAGTTTCCTAACCCATCAAGGATACTAATTCCCTCCTAAAACCCTAATTCCTTAATAATACACAAAGCCACATGTTTGGCTACAACTACAACCGTAATTTGGAGTACAACTATCCGGGTTTGAACAATGAGCATTGCTAGACCACACCCTTATAGGAAAACCTTCCAGGCCTTCCCACGCGTCATGCAAATAGCAATGCCCGAGTGTAATAATCGGGCATCTGCTAGAGAAAATCTGTTGCCTTCATTTATTGTCTAAACTTTTTTTGTTGTACATAATTTCTTAATGATTGAGTTGTCCAAAATCTCATGGCTGGATATCCTTGTTCATTTACATCCAAAAAAATTGAGAGAAATATGGTTGTTCGGTCCGGGTTCATGTCAAGTCCATTCACTCATTGTTTTAAGAGAAAGAAATTGTGAATATTGGTATTGTCATTTATTTGGGTAAATTACACTGATAATTGTAGAAACCTCCCATTTTTTTTCTAAAATTACAGTCCTCACACGAGGTTTGGAAAAATTGCAAAAACCTCTTATCTTGTTTCTAAAATTTCACTGCCCTCCCCCGAGGTTTGACAAAATAATAAATACTTCCTCTCTTATTTTTAAAATTACACTGTGCTTTCATATCAGGCTCATCAAGTTAACGTTGTTAACAGATGATGTTTTTTTTTTATGATTTTTACCCCCATTTATTTACTCAAGAAAACGATGTCATATAACCAAGTTGACTAACTTCAAGAAATGTAATTCGGACATTTTAAACCATAACATGATCAAAATTCATCTGTCATAACCAAATATTAATTGAATGAGTCTGTTACCGACAACTAGAGTAAAGGAGAGGGCAATATAATTTCAAAAACAAGGGGGGGTTTATGCAATTTCACCAAACCTCAGGGAAGGTCAGTGTAATTTCAAAAAGAGAAAAGAGGTTTCATTAATTTCACCAAACCTCAAGGAGGTCAGTGTGATTAAAGAAACAATAGAGTAGGTTTCTGCAATTTCACCTAAACCTTAGGGGAGGTGAGTGTAATTTACCCTGTATTCATTTGGAAGTAAAAATTTGCTACTTGCTGACACACAACTCTTCTTTTACAAAGTAATGAAGTCATGGGTTCTAGCTTCGCCTTGTGGTGCTGTTACCTTAACCAAAAAAAAAGTCCTGTTTACTTCAAATCTTGGCATGTTTTATGCCTAGGGCTTTTTGTCAATTGCTTAGGATTTATGTTTTTCTTTTTTCGTTAAAATAATCTGAATAGTTCTTCTGATACAAATATAATTAATTAGGTAAACTAAATCTGTCAAAAATGTATTACTCCTTAAATAAGGTAATCTAACCAAATAACAATCTGCAAGAAAAAATCACCAGGATTCCATTGCATATCTATCACATAACTCATCCTAAAAATGGCTCAACATGGTCTGCTAGTGAGCAACTTAAAGCAGATGTAAAGTTACAGGACATACCCATCATGGTCTGATGCACTAAAACTCACCTCCAACTCAAAATTTACCCTCCTTAGTTGACCTCCTTTGTAGGATATGATGTTATAGGGAGTCAAGGACCAGGCACAGGAAACAGTAGTGCCCATTTCCAACAACCGAAACTGTCTTCGTCCAGAATAGACACACCCCACAGCTAAGGCTTAGCGGAGGTCTTGAGTTCAATTCCCTTCCTCCTATTGGCCACCCTCAGGGATTTATCCTTACTTACCTGGTGCGTGTGGTTGGGGGTCTGCACATGCCCAGGGGATTAGTCGGGTGCTCTAAGAGGTCCAGACACCCTTGTCACCCAAAAAAAGCAAGGAGAATAGATTCTGCTCGGAATAATTTTGAGATATTTTGGGTTTAAGATTTTGCAAGGGACTTGGGAACTCAATTGGTTCATGTGAAATTGTCAAAAGGCCATACATGCCTCGCAGCTCACATGGCAAAGGTGTTCCCGACATCGAGGGAGATCTTGGGATCAAGTTCCAGAGAGAAAAACTCCCAATAGATTGGTATGCAGTTCTCCGACTAATGTGACAGTGCCCACTTACCTCAAATTGAACATTAACACTAAAAACTATAGATGATAAATGATGCCTCAAAAGCCCCCAAAAAATTGTCAAAAGCCACTTTAAGTGAGTATCCAAATGTCAAAGAAGTATTGCATTACAAGTGCTCATTGATAATTTTACAGAAAAAATTTGAGGAAAGAATGCCAAATATTCATGATTTATGTGGTGAAGAAAATTAAGATTTAATAAAAATTGGGAGAAAGTGAAAAAATCTTGTTTGTAAAGTTAGTTTTAAATCTAATAATGAGAAAGAACAATTGGATGCTGAACGGCAGAAAATTTTCCTAATAAATGAGAAATTGCAGAAACCTTCCCTTATTTGGGAAAAGTCGCAAGATATTATCTGAAAGTTTTCAAATTATATAATTTTATATAATTAGAGAACCTCAGATTCAGTACTTACAATTCAAAGCTTAGTTACCAAAGCAAGAATCGAAATCAAAAAGCGAAGCAAAGGCAATGCTCAAAAAATCCTTAGAAAACGGAAAGCTATAAATAAACATTAGTGTCTCATTCTTATTATATTAGAATGATCAATCATTCCTTAAATTTTATCTTACATGAAATATTTGTGGAAAAATAGATATTTTATAACCTAGGTTTTAATCCAATAAAACATGCTTCGAATCTATTTGTAGCCTTTAAACTCAATCTATCCCATCACTTCCTCAATACATCATAACTAGCCCCTTTGACTACGAAATGAGGGCTGATGGAAGCGAGTCTGGGAACTGGAACTATGAAGCAAAGTCCCGCAGATGTGCCAAACTATTCCCATATGCTAGAGGAAATTGTAAAATAAAATATAAAAACAAAAGACTCGGGGGCGTATGATAAAACTTATCTAATAAATGTTTTCTTAAGAGTTATTTATAATGATAGAATGGTCTAAAAATTGATGTTGTTTGTATAAATAAGTTCTTTTATAAGAAGTAACTTTAGATTGCTTATTGAATAAATGATAAAATCACTTATTGCTAAAATATTTAGACAATAGTAAAATTTTATCAATCAGTCTTATTACTAAATAAGAGCGTAATTTAGTAGAATAAGTCAATAAGCTCTTATTTTAAATGAGCTTATTTTAAATTTTATCAAATGTCCCCCCTCAGTTTACTTGCCGAATGAATTTATATACAGAGTTTAAACTCTAGAGGGTAACTAAATAAATAACTACCCATAAATTAGTCTTATCCCTCTAACAGACACTTGAGACTATGAAGCCCCTCTGCAGATATGCTCCTCCTAACTCTTCCCCTCTGCACTACAACATGGGGAGGAGGATCTGACTGAAAGCACACCATCACTATTGTCAGATTGTCTCTCGCCCCTCGTTTAATTGCCTCGGCCACCATTTCCATGCAGCACAACTTCACATCATTGTGCTCCTGAAGTTTCCTCCTGGCAAATTCTATGGCATTTTGACTTGTAAACATATCCCATAATCCATCACTGCCTATGATCAA